TCCTAACAAGCTGGATCTGTGCGGCTGACGTCACATATATATCTAAGAGTTTCTTCGCCGATATGTGCAGGTTGCATCACGATGTATACCTTCACCGTATAATTGTATTACATTACGTCGAATATAATATAATACTACACATAAAATTTAAAAGCATTGGTACATGTGCATGGTGGCGATCGAAGCTGGACGTATAAATTATGATTACAAATGCGCAGCTGACGCTCCAGTAATTAAATTAGCCGAAATAAGAACTTAATTGAAATACTTCGGGAAGGGTATTCGTAACAGTAATCGAAAAACGTCGATAAAACGGCGATCGATATTTTTGTAATTATTATACAAACATTTGTATCGATTGTTTCGTTCGCAGGGCTCAATGATAAATGTTAATTACGTGACATTACACATGAACAAGGAGATATGGGGGGATCCTGAAAACTTTCGCCCCGAGAGATTCATTGTAAACGGCCGGTTGCAGCTGAGTCAGGACAAGTCATTACCTTTCGGTGCAGGTAAGACCTAAATCAGACGGTCTTTTAATTGGTCAACCAGCTTTCAATTACAATTTATATCTAGCATAAACCAAATAGAATGAATAGCTCATTTTTTGTTATTGATTTTCGACCAACAAATCAATTATTTTTTGGATTCCAGGTCGTCGACTCTGTGCAGGTGAAACATATGCCCGACAGACACTATTCCAAGTGTTCTCAGCTTTCATGCAAGCCTTCCAGGTGTCTACAGCTGATGGAAAACCTTACAAAGAGTTGGCACCAAGAATACAAGGCATTATAACGACTATCCCTAACTTTTGGATACGCGTTACACCCAGGAAATAAACGTTAATAAATGCTTTTAAATATCAAGTGTGAGATATGAAAGCACAACAAAGAATCTAAACTATTTTACAATAATTTTGACCGACTTTCCAAAAGAAGGAGGTACTCAATTCGTAAAAAGCCTTACGTAGAAATATCACTGCATACCTCGGCTGACACCGACATCAAAGTAATAGTAATTGTACAATATAAACATAACAGCTACAATAAGTGAGGTTTAAGTAATTCAAGGAATTATTTCGTTACTTTTTAGGGTATTATTTTTTTGAGAATCTTTCGCTTTTAGTGTATTTTGTTTGGAAGTCGGTTTTTTTTATACTTAAATGGCTATTATAAGGCACCTGAAGATATTAAGAATTAGTTGCTTGTTTTATTTTTATAAACTGCCAGCGAAATGCCCAAAATATGATTTTTTTTTATTCTATAAAATTAAACACACTCTCAAAACACTGCCAAAAACGATACTAAAAATTAGTTTACAACTCATTACACTTTATGCTATAGAAAGGTTAAATTTTGTAAGTTAAATTGTTTTGTTTTATTTCTTTATTGATCCTATGAAGTAAGGTCTTGGGGGCATCGGTGGCTCAGTGGTTTGAACACTTGACTTGTAATCTACAGGTCTTTGGTTCGAATCCCGCCATGTACCAATGTGATTTTCGATTTTTCGAATTTTCATATGTACATAATTTACCCGACGTTCTTACAGTGAAGGAAAACATCGTGATGCAACCTACACATATCGGCGAAGAATTTCAAAGATATGTGTGAAGTCAACCAACCCGCAGTTGGCCAGCGTGGTTGACTATGGCCTAGTCACCCCATATTAGGGTAGGCTCCGAGCCCCTCGGTGGGGACGTATAGTGAGCTGGTGATGATGATGATAATGATGATGAAGATGATGATGATTTCTTTATTATATTCTGTGCATTTAGGTAACTATAATTTTAATATCTAGTTTTTATCAAAAACTGGAAAGACCGTTTGGAAGATCTTTTATTAATATTTCCTGCAATTTTACCGTTTATGTGTCGAAATAAATGTAATAATCTCCTTAATTATTTCCGTTTATAGACGTTGATTTGTGTCTATAATTCTCTTAATTATTGAATTAACTAAGAAGGAAATGACTACGGGATTTTATTAGCCACAAGACTATATATTTATTCTTATCTAATACATCTTGGTCGTGATTTTTATTGCTTAATTAATCCAGAAACTTTGTAACAAATATATTAAACGATTAAAGCAAGGATTCACGCCTCATGTAACACTAACGGCCCTATAAACTTTTTACAGCCAGTTTACATCTCGCTAATTTTACGATTAAAAATCAAATTAAGAGCTAAATTTTAAAAGTAATAAAATGCAATGTACCTACGAATCATTCAGATTTTTAAGCATAAAAAACCGTTTTACTCATGATCCCACTAAAGATTTACCAAATTCTGTTCAGTTTAATAAATACATGGTGATTTTTCTTTATTAATAAGAATATAATGAAATCCAAGATAATTCAAACATATCCCTGCTAAAAAAAAATAGCAAATTACGCGTTAATGCATTTATGCTATATTTTTTCATTTTAATTTATCGTCGAATCCCCATCTAGCTCGTTAAAAACGTGTTTTAATTACGTAATCGACATTTATGTTTGCGCATTAGTTAATTTATTTAAAATCTATTCAGTCTGTATGAATCATTTTCGGCACGTGTATGGTAGCAACATTGTTGCAAGTTGCAATGCATACGCCCGCATTTATCGAACCTACTCTTCACGTAAGTACTTCAACAATATTGCTATCCCTTTCATTGTCTTTGAAAGAATAGAGACAATTGCTGTGCCTGTTTTGAACGAGTTTGTCAAAGACCATTGTTCGTATCATTCACGTTTTTAATATTGCTTACAAATACAGAGTTTATTCAAAAAGAAAAAAAGTAATAGCAATATTTTAGATGCATTAAAAACCACTTCCGTAAAACCATATGTTATCCCTGTCTTTTTACATATTAAAAGGTATGGCAATATTATATGTTAGTAAAAACAAGGAAACTTACCTCAATAGTTTCGTTATAAAAATAGAAGCTGAGTTAAGTTTTGTAACGGTTTTGTTTTGACCGAGACGTGAAAAGCCGAATAAATGCAGGTTGGATGAAATGGCGACCGGTTACTAGTGTGACTTGTGATCCAAGAATGCTGATCTAAAAGTTCATCATAAGACCTGTCGTGTTGTATGGATCTGAATGCTGGGCCACCACAATTGCGGATGAAAGAATTAGTAGTCTAAAGAACTTAGGCAAGGTCAAATTTAAATGCAAGGGGCTAAAGAACTTATACAAGGTTGATGTTTTACCGACATGTTATTTATTATGTACTAGAGACCCGCCCCGGCTTCTCCCAGGTCCACTGCTGATACGAAATTTTATTTACGATGTCATATTAGTAACCTCTTAAAGTATTAGTATTTCTCTACTATGTTATACACTAGCTTTCACTCGCGACACCATTTGCGTTAAATAAAATAAAACAAAATTGAGTAGCCTATACGTTCTTCCAGACTATACATCTATGCGAAATTTCATGGAGATCCTTCATCATCATTATTCATCCGTTTAGGCTACAAACTCTAACAAACATCCATTAATCCATCTAAACTTTCGGATTTATAATATTAGTAAGATACAGTTCTCTATCGATCTAAGCATACCTGGAGACAGACAAACAGCGGGAAGCAACTTTTTTAATCTATCTAGTCAGTACTGATTGTAAATTGCTTTTGATTTTCAAAAGGTCTTCGAGGGCATTTTTTGCCTTACTTTTACAATCCTCTTTAGGTATCTAAAGGTTATATATATCTATGATTATAGTGTTAATCATACCTTCCTTTGTATATGTGTATAAAAATAAACATTTTATCTTTTTATAATGGTCGCAATTCATTCGGTTATTGCTCTGCATACCAATGCATTGCTTTGTTATTGGAGGGGCATGCCCCTATTGGTTTCAACACTTAATAGAATGATAGTGACAATTGTCTTTTACACACAGGAGATGTTGCGATCGTCTACAGTCTACACTAATATTATAAAGAGATATCTGTACTTTTATTAGTGTTGGAATAACTCAAAAACTACTGGACCGCTTTCAAAAATTCTTTCACCTCTAGAAAGGTAGTTTATCTGTGAATAAGGCTATATCTTTGATTATTATTTTAATTTCACGGGGAAAAAGTCGCGAGCAACAGCTAACTTCAACAAAATTTTATTTAAAATAAATTACAAATCGTATTTCATTTTAGTTACAAAGTTGGCTGCCGCAGTTATAATTCATGCTAATTTTCTGGTTAAATTCTGTTATTAAATTAACACTAGGTAAGTTAAGTGTCATAATAATGTATTATTTTATACAAGTACTTAATTAAATATTTAATCAATAATTGTAATGCGAAACATACATAGTCTAGGATAGGTCAAAAGTAGTTGGCAACGCATAATTGTATACACTTTTGTTTTGCAAATTACGTAACGAATGTGTTACAAATTGATAACAGTTGCGACGCTGGCTGAATTCATTCAATCACGTGCTGTATTATTTGATAACATGTTTAAAAATTATCAATAACTTGCACAGCAGTAAAATATTTCCACGACCCCATATACAAAGTACCCACAAAAAAAAAATACAAAAACTGCCGAGTTTCGGTCTACCTACAAGTGTGTTAGATGTTATACAAAACATAGTCGTTTTAGTGTCTTAGCAATTACACGGCGTGAACATTTCGAAAGTATACCACTTGCCATTTATCCCATTTTATCTAAACTAAGAAAGTTCTCGATAATACGTATTTTTGACCGACTTCCCAAAAGAAGGAGGTACTCAATTCGTCTGTATGTTTTTTTTTTTTATGTGTGTTACGGCATAACTCCGCCGCTAGTGGACCGATTTTGATAATTCTTTTTTTATCCAAAAGGTAATGCTTGCAGGTGGGTCCCATTTTTTTGTTTGATTTTTTAATTTGAAGATTGTTGCCTCCGTGTATATTTCCTACATCTATAGACAGAGCGCTAACTAAATTCCAAATTTTAAGTTTGTAGCATCATTGGAAGTGCCTTAAAATTATGATTGAATATAATTTAACGTAAAAAGTAAAGACCGACTATTTGTAATTTGTAAACTACAAGGTATAATTAAAAGATATTATGATTTCCGGTGTATCTATTGATGTTAAAAATTTCAATCTTCTATCTATGTCCACAACGAAGTTTCAGGGGTGTCAAAAGTGTCATGAACCTGAAGTGCTTCGAGAAAACAAAATACTCTCAAAAAAACAATACACTAAAAAGTAAAAAAATAATTCCTTGAATTACTTAAACCTCATTTGTTGTAGCTGTTATGTCTATATTGTACAATTAGTACAACTTTGATGTGATTACTATAAGCGACCAACCAGCAAGCACTACGTTTCGGATAAAAAAAGAGTTATCAAAATCAATCCACTAGCGGCAGAGTTATGCCGTAACACACAAAAAAACATACAGACGTATTGAGTACCTCCTTCTTTTGGGAAGTCAGTCAAAAGTAGTGTCCGTGCTCGCCTCGGCGGGTGTACCGCCGCGCACCTAGATTCATTGTTATTAAGGAGATAGTTGCCTTAGTTCGACTAAGGAAGCTTTTACACATATTTGAATGGAAGATACATAGTGTTGTTTTACATATTTCATCACACATTTTCCATTAATCAAATATTAATCAATTATAAATTTTATCGCAGTATGTTGCCTACCTAAGCAGTTTTGACAAATAGGTTCAAGATTATGACGTCTTGATAAGCGAAGCACTATGGAGTAGCGTGATTTTAGATTTTTAGCGCTTTTACTGCCATACTCAGAATAAACTAATGGTTACTTAAGGTGACTGTGACTAAACTGATTAAATGTAGAAATGCATTTGCATTTATTCTGATATTGCTGATGTCCATGTGCATATCTGAACACTTTGATGTTCCCGCTACTCATGTCCCCTTTGATAAATTTTCTGCTAAGATGGTTTCATGTTTGTTATATTTTTAAATAGTCGAGAAGTGTCTTATTATTCAATTCAGCTGAATTTAAAAATAACAATATCTACAGTACAATA